CAAGGACTCTGTCTCAAAAAAAAAAAAAAAAGACTGTTTACATGCTTAACCATCACCTGGACACCAGTGTCACACGTCTGATGCCCTAATTGTGCCCTCCTCGAGTGACCATGTCGGCTACATCCAGCCGTCTATTCCCTCTGAGTCGCAATATTTGTCTCTAATTCAATCATCTGGACTAGAAATGAATTCAATTCCTCTCCTTTTCCCATCCAAACTCTTTTCCATTATTTCTTCCAAAACTGTATCTGAAAAAACATTAGGTTGTATGACACTCTCTAAACCCTCTGGTTTATTTCTTCCTTACTGACTGTGGTCTGCCAATATAAAAAGGTTACCTGTACGCGTGGTGTTTATGTTTTTTAAAAAAAGTCTTTATCGAAGTACTCTTACAGGTAAATATGGCACCTACATTATAGGTGAAACCGGCATGATCCTTGGCTGATTTTTTCCAAATTTTCTAGAAAATTGTATGTGTGTGTGTAGGTGAGATAATGTTAGTGTGTGCTATTCCAGGAGGAAGTAGAGTAAGAAGTCAAGGAATATAAACTGGGTGTGGGCACCTAAGGGCTCCACTCTACTATTTCTTTCTACTTTTATGCTACTGAAAATTCTTTAATAAAAAGTTCTGTGGCCCAGGTACGGTTCTCAATGCCGTTGTAATCCCAGCACTTTGGGAAGGCAAGGCGGGTGGATTACCAGGTCAGGGTTGTAGACAAGCGCTGGGCGCACATGGTGAAACCTTGGTCTCTAAATAAAATACAAAATTACTGGGCCAGGATGGTGGGCAGGCTGTGAGCTCCAGCTACTCAGGGAGGGAGGCAGGAGAATCCGCTTGAACCTGGGAGCGAAGGGTTGCAGTGAGCTAGGGACTGTGCCACTGCCCTCGCACCTGGGCAACAAGGCACGACTCCATCTCAAAAAAAAAAAAAAAAAATTCGTGCCTGAGCGCGATGGTTCATGCCTTCTAATCCCAGGCATTTTGTGGGAGGCCCAGGAGGCAATCAGCAAGGTTAGGAGTTGAGCCAGCCTGGGGCCCAAATTGGGAGAACCCTCGTATCTAACTAAAAATACAAAAAAAAAATTAGTCATTGCATGTGCATACCTGTAATCCCAGCTACTTGAGAGTCTGAACCAGGAGAATAGCTTGAACTCAGGAGGCGGAGGTTGCAGTGAGCTGAGATTGCACCACTGCACTTCACCGTGGGTGAAAGAGCAAGATTTCATCTCAAAAATAAATAAATAAATAAATAAATAAATAAAAAGGTTCTAAAGGAGGAGTCATTCCTAATCAATCAATTTAATGGATATTCACTGGGCATGAGACAGTATACTCTTCTCCAGGGATGCACGAGTGACTATATCATGTCCCTTCCTCAAGAAGCTCACTGCTTGAGAAATACAGGGAAGGCAATAAAACAGGTTACACTCATTAGAGACAAACAGGAAGTGTGGCAGATGGTAACAGAGGCCATCAATTCTTCCCCACCCTGCATCCACACCCTTTTAGTGAGGCAGCATTAAAGATCCTCTCTTTAGGAGGTAGGGACCGTATCTCCACCTGTTGAGTTGCTTTGGTCAATGGGAAGGAGGCAAGCCTATCACAGGCAGAGGCCTGGAATGTGCTTGTGGGTTGGGGCTTGTTCTCTCCTCCTGCTGAGCCTAAAACAGGATGACAGACACTGTGAAGACAGGCCTCAGGGGTCCCCACCATCCCAGCTAAGGTCCAGGCATGGAAGTGAGGCCACCCTGTGTGTTTAAGGCAACTGGTTTGTTAAGCAGCAAAAGGTAACTGACAGAGGAAGGGAATTCATCTATGCCAATTCTGGAGGTTCAAGGAAGGATTTGTGGCGGAGGATGACATTGAAGGCTGACAAGTTAGAGAAAAGGGCAGTGAATTCATGGAGAAGGAGCATGCTTCCACAGGTAAAATCTTTTTTTTTTAAATGAGACAGAGTCTTGCAGTGGCGCCATCTCTGCTCACTTCAACCTCAGCCTCCTGGGTTCAAGCAATTCTCTTGCCTCAACCTCCTGAGTAGCTGGGACTGCAGGTGCACATCACCATGCCCAGCTAATTTTCTGTGTTTTCAGTAGAGACAGGGTTTCGTCATGCTGGCCAGGCTGGTCTTGAACTCTTGACCTCAGGTGATCCGCCCACCTCAGCCTCCCAAAGTGCTGGGATTACAGGTGTGAGCCACCGCGCCTGGCAATTATTTCTTTAATATCTGTCTTAACCAACACAGTTGGGTTCTCATGTTTGCTGTTTCATTTAATTTGTTGCAACATGTTGTTTTGGTTGAGGTTTATAAAGAACATCCTATATCTTGCAGACAGGTAGTAGGAAAAGAAAGAGTATTTTGATAGCCTTTCACACCACTGTAGGCATTATTCTTGGACGCTGGACCCAAACTCAACAAGTGGCAATTTCTTAAAGTTTAGCTGCATTAGGGAACGTTTTATACTCAGTTATATTAAAGTCCATTAGTCTACCTGGTACTTTGAACTGATCTTTCACCTATACCTGATTCTATGGGTCACATATCGGTCATTTAAAACATACTGGCTCACTGAGTCATGTAGATATTTCAAATGTTTAAACATTTCATTATACAACATCCAAAAAAGTCACATTTGTTAGTATAACCACCGATCTCGTCAGGAAAATCTTCAGATATTGGGAAACCAACAACCTCATGCTGGCTTTCCAAAATTCTAATCTTTACTTGAAAATTCAAATTTGGCCACATACAGTGGCTCATGCCTGTCATCTCAGCATTTTGGGAGGCCGAGGTGGAAGGACGGCTTGAGCCCAGGTGTTCGAGGCTCCAGTAAGCTGTGATTGCACCATTGTACTCCAGCCTGGGTAACAGAGTGAGAGCCTATCTCTTAACAAAAAAAAAAAAGAGGGACTGGGTGCGGTGGCTCACACCTGTAATCCCAGCACTTTGGGAAGCCAAGACAGGCAGATCACAAGGTCAGGAGTTCAAGACCAGCTTGGCCAAGAAGGCAAAACCCTGTCTCTACTAAAAATATAATAACAACATGTATTCAAAGATTAATATATGAAAAGCTAATAATTTGCATTTTTTCATCAAGGACGTTTTTAAGTGAAATTGGCTTAAGTGGGTGGCGGTGACTAATCAGTGAATATTAGCACAGATGGGCCTCCTGCCTTTATTAGTATTCAGGCAGCAGCACTTTTACTCATCATGGCATTTTACACCATGAGAAAAGCCAAAAGAAAAGGCTTCGCATTATTATTTAGAAAAGGCTTGACTTGGTGGAGGCCCTGAAAGAGTCCCGGGGAACCTCACAGGTCCAGGGACCCCATTTTGGTAACCACTGGTTTGAAAACTACCTTAAGAAGCCAGACAGATAGTCCAACAGGTAGGCCGGGTGCAGTGGCTCACACCTGTAGCCCCAACATTTTGGGAGGCTGAGGTGGGTGGATCACTTGAGGTCAGGCATTTGACACCAGCCTGGCCTACATGGTGAAACCGTGTCTCTACTAAAAATACAAAAATTAGCCTGATATGGTGGTTTGTGCCTGTAGTCCCAGTCACTCAGGAGGCTGAGGCAGGAGAATCGCTTGGACCCGGGGGGCAGAGGTTGCAGTGAACTGAGATAGCACCGTTGCACTCTAGCCTGGGTGACAGCGTGAGACTCTATCTCAAAAAAAAAAAAAAAAAAAGTACTACAATAAAACTGGAAACCAGGATGCCTGTTGGGTTTTCTAATACTGAGATTGACAAGTCATTAAATTGCACTAGGAAATACAATCTCCATGCTCTGCCTGGGAAAAGTCTGACATAAAGAGGAAGACTACGCACAGTCGGGGCATGTGCAACTTCACATTCACAGATGTCTAGCATCCTGAGCTTTCGGAAGAGACCACAGATGACTGGGTTCTGCCCTTGTCCCAATGCAGCAGTTCCCAAGTACCACCATTTTGCAAGTTGCAATTCTATAAAGAAAGGGCACAGCCTGCAAATGATCAGGGCATCAACACAGTGCACAGTGGATTAACTGGCGCAGCACAAGCCCTAACAGCACTGGTGGAGCAGGCTCAGTGCAGTTCCCACCGCCAGAGACAGCAACCTCGCCCACCAAAGGGAACCTGACCTTTGGCTTTTTTCTTCAGTTTTGCAGGCACCAGCGGTACGGTGCGTTCACATAGCTCCTTACTGAGAATTCAGTTAGGCTCCCACCAGCTCATATACCTGCCCTCTGAGTCATCATGAATAAAAAGTCAATAAATGAATTAACTTATGGATCTACAAACTCTTGTCTGTTTAAAGCTCTTCTAATAAACGGTCCAACCCAGGACACTACCTCTGTCACCTAAGCGATGGTTACTCTCATGTATACAAGGTTGCCGCAACATTTACGCTGCAGCTGATAAATCACCCGATCTGAGAACACAGAAGAAAACAGGGCCAGGTTCGGTGACTCAAGCCTGTGATCCCAGCACTTTGGGAGGCTGAGGCGGGCAGATCACTTGAGGTCAGTAGTTCGAGATCAGCCTGACCAACGTGGTGAAACCCCATCTCTACTAAAAATACAAAAAAAATTAGCTGGGCGTGGTGATGCGCACCTGCAATCCCAGCTACTCAGGAGGCTAAGGCAGGAGAATTGCTTAAACCCGGGAGGTGGAGGTTGCAGTGAGCTGAGGTCGTGCCATTGCATTCCAGCCTGGGTGACAGAGCGAGACTCCATCTCAAAAAACAAAACAAAACAAAACAACAACAACAACAACAAAGAAACACAGACAACACATTACTGGGCTATTTTTGTCATTCAATAACAACATCAAAAAATATCAGGGACGTTTTAGGTGCATCTACACACACAAAACCAATCTATGGGAAACAACACACTGTTGTGGCCACAACAGGCACCACCCATGGGAACACTATCGGCTCAGTAAGGCTGCCTTTCAGTTCTCCAATTCTGCAATTTCATCAGCACAACCAAAATAACAACACCAGATAAACACATACCCACTGCGCTTGTGCCATTTCCTTCATTGACTCTGTGAAAGCGACAGCAAATCTAGTAAATGAACAAAAATAATAGAAACAATTAGGCCAGAATTCAATTAAAACAACTATGAAACAGCTCTTTGGAACAAATTATGAGAGACAAGGTAAGACACTAAATTTAAAATGCAATCAATCTTTATTACTTGTGGTCATTGGCCATTAGGTTTAATCTCAACTCACATCAAAAAAAGTTGTATATGCAAGAAGTAAACCAAACGAAGCTTAAAACTTCCGGTTTTTTCTCTTCCTTCCACGCAAGTTCAGAGAGGCAGGGATAAAAGCAAAGGCAAGAAATCAAGATGCAGGAGAGAAGAAAGGAACTTGCTTGGCTAATCCACCCTGAACATTCAAGGGCAGCCTGTCCACTCCACTAACTCTGCCAAGGGAAGACTATGGGGACACAATTACAATGTACTGAGTGCACATGGGTGCTCAATGTTATCATCTCCCTCCTTTCAATTGCTTCTTCAGGAAATGCACAAGGGCCCTCAAAACTAAGAATATAAAGGTAATCTATTTATTAACTTTACGTTTGCCATGAAGTGCAGGAGTATTAAGAGACAATTTTCCATGGAAACGTGGAGCCCATTCTTAGATGGGAAGCTCCAATACTACCGAAACATCCATTGTTATCAAATTACATGACAAAATCAATAATTCAGACAAAATCCACAAGTGAACTTCCATTGAAATTCGACAAAATAATTTTAAAGTTTACCTATACATATAATTGGGTGACAAACAATCAGAATATTTTGATAAAGAAGAATTCAGGCCAGGCACAGTGCCTCACACTTGTAATTCCAATACTTTGGGAGGCTGAGGCAGGAAGATCACTTGAGCCCAGGTATTCAAGACCAGCCTGGGCAACACAGGGAGACCCCCATCTCTACAGGAAAGAAGTTTTTATAATTAGCCAGACATGGTTGAGCACACTGTAGTCCCAGCTACTTGGGAGGCTGAGGCAGGAGGAACACTTGAGCCTGGGATGTCAAGGCTGCAGTGAGCCATGATTGCGCCACTGCACTCCAGCTGGGGTGACAGAGGAAGAAGAAAGAAGAAAGGAAGAAGGAAGAAGGAAGAAGAAGGAGGAGGACGAGGAGGAAGAAGAAGAAGAATTCAAAGATGAGACTTGTATTAACAGATATCAAAATATATTAAAAATATAATAATTAAAACAGTGTTAGCAGTGAAGAAAAGATAGAAAGATCAAAACCAAATACAAGGCCAGAAACAGACTCAAATACATTTAAGAATTTGACATAGCATAGGCTGGGCGCGGTGGCTCACGCCTGTAATTCCAGCACTTTGGGAGGCCGAGGCAGGTAGATCACAAGGTCAGGAGACTGAGACCATCCTGGCGAACACGGTGAAACCCTGTCTCTACTAAAAATACAAAAAATTAGCCGGGCGTGGTGGCATGAGCCTGTAGTCCCAGCTACTCAGGAGGCTGAGGCAGGAGAATGGCGTGTACCTGGGAGCCAGAGCTTGCAGTGAGCCGAGATCGCACCACTGCACTCCAGCCTGGGCGACAGAGCCAGACTCCGTCTCAAAAAAAAAAAAAAAAAGAATTTGACATAGCACGAAGCCAGAGAAGTGGTTCAGTACATGGAAAAAGTTAGTTTCCTACCTTATATCACATATCTAAAAAGGTGGTTCAGAAGCTAAGTAAAAAAAAGGTAAGACGACAAGAGGAGTCTGGAATGATACAAGTGACCAAGCAACTGGCCTCAGCCTGGGAAAGGTTTTCTGAGCATTAAAAGATAGGACATTATTGGATACCACAGGCAGGGTATGAAAAGGAGAAAGAAAAAAGTTATGAAATTAATTCTAAAGATAAAAAAGCTTTGATTATATTAAAATTAAAAGACTACTGAAATACCACAAATTAATGTGGAAGAAATGCGTGCAATTGACATGGAGAAAAGAAGGACACTATCCTTAGTTGGGAGCTCTTCAAAATTAACAAGGAAGCCAAATATCCCAGGGGAAAAAAAGGGATGGGAAAAATGGGACATTCACATGAGAGCAAATACAAGGGACCATAAAATGTGAGGAAAAGTAAAATTTCTCTAATAACAAAATAAATCTAATTAGAACAATAGGAAAGAATTGCATCACATATAAGACTGGCAGTTTTAAAAACAAAAATGCCCAATGTTGACAAAGGTGAGAAAATGAAAACATACACCCACTTGGTGAATTAAAATGCAAATATTCTTTCTGAAGAGAAATTTGAGAAACTGCATCAATATATTCACATGTTCATATCGTTAGACCTTGCAATTCTACCTCCATGAATTCAACCTAAAGACAGAATCAGACAACTACACAAAGACAGAAACAGGTTGTTCCCTGTGGTGTTGTGTTTAATAAAGATATAAATGCCCAATCTCAAAAGAATCGGTTACAGAATTTATGATAGAATTCTACGCAGCCATTCAAACCATGTTTGGAACCTTAAAATTATCAAAAATGTAGCTGGATGTGGTGGTGCATGCCTGTAATCCCAGCTATTCAGGAGGCTGATGCAGGGGGATCGCTTGAACCCGGGAGGCAGAGGTTGCAGTGAGCCAAGATTGTGCCACTGCACTCCAGTCTGGCGACAGAGCAAGACTCTGTCTCAAAAAAATATATATATATATATATACACACACACACACACACACATATGTGTATATATATAGTACGTGTCATTCAGCCCAAATTTTCAAAAATAATAACAATGAAAATATAGTCACAATCATACAAATAAAAGTAATTTAAAGATCACCTACCAAAAAGCTAGTCATGGTTAAAGTACATATAAAGTACAAAAAAATTAGGTAATTTGCTTTTCCCTGGCTTCTTCAGTACTTTCCAAACTTTCTCTTTTTTTGGAAATGGAATCTCGCTGTGTAGCCCAGGCTGGAGTGCAGTGGCATGATCTCGACTCGCTGCAACCTCTGCCTCCCGGGTTCAAGTGATTCTCCTGCCTCAGCCTCCCGAGTAGCTGGGACTATAGTGCCCACCACCACACCCGGCTAATTTTTTGTATTTTTAGTAGAGACGGGGTTTCACCGTGTTAGCCAGGATGGTCTCGATCTCCTGACCTCGTGGTCCACCCGCCTTGGCCTCCCAAAGTGCTGGGATTACAGGCATGAGCCACCGCAACCGGCGTTACTTTCCAAACTGTCTACATTGCATTGGGACAGACTTTTTTTAGTTAAAAAGAAAATTCTTAACAAAACATTTTATAAAGTCAGGACTTTCAATCTTTCAAGACTTCCTGTAGATAATATACATCCTCCTACCTTTCTCCCACATCATTATTTTCCCCTCTACTCATTATAAAAATGCTATTATTTCTCTTATCTTAAAAACGACTGTCTTAATCCCACAGTCCCTGCTTCAATTATTGTCCTTTTTCTCTTTCCTCCTTGACAAGCCCCAATGTTACCTTGACTCAACATCTCCAATGCTTCTCTTCTCATTTAAACCACTCTAGGCAACTCCCCTGACTGCACCATTGAAATTGCGCTCAAGGTCACTAATGACCTCCATGTTGGTAAGCTAAATGGGTCCATCCTCAGTCTTCATGTTACTTGCCCTATCAATAGCAACAGACACATATGCTCCCTCCTTCCTCCTTGGAATGCTTCTTCATTGGTTTCCACCCCACCATTCCATTTCATCTTTCTGGCCACTCAGTCTCAGTCTCACTAATTCCTCTTTCTGATTTCTCAAAAATGGGCTACTCCAAGACTCCGTTCTTGGGCTTCTCTTCTCTATCTGCACTTACTCCCTTGGTGATCTCACCAGTTTTCAGTTTTCAATAGCATCTGTAAGGCTGGATGCGGTGGCTCACGACTGTAATCTCAGCACTTTGGGAGGCCAAGGCGGGTGGATCACCTGAGGTCGGGAGTTTGAGACCAGTCTGACCAACATGGAGAAACCTTGTCTCTATTAAAATTACAAAATTAGCCTGGTGTGGTGGTGTATGCCTGTAATCCCAGCTACTCAGAAGGCTGAGGCAGGAGAATAGCTTGAACGTGGGAGGCGGAGGTTGCGGTGAGTCGAGATCATGCCATTGCACTCCAGCCTGGGTGACAGAGCGAGACTCCGTCTCGAAAAAAAAAAAAACCAGCATCTGTATATTGACCAACAAACTCCCGACCCCTCCCCTAACTTGCCCAGACTTCTACCTACTTCATACCTCCATTTGGATGCCTAACACAAACCTTAAGCTTCATACCTATGTCAAATAATGAGAACCACATTTCTAGTGATGAAATAAAAATACATATAGCCATATACGTGCATATATACATACATACATTTCCAAGCTCTAAGAGGGCTTACAAGAAATGACACTGAGTAAGCAATAAGCACAGAGCTTAGTTTCTAAATAGTATTCTCTAAAAAGACAAAAAAAATTATAAAGGACTAAGGACTCCTTTGAGAAATAGCCATTTCCAGAAGTAGGACAAGGTAGACAGGAGATGAATCATGAACATTTTATGATACCAGAAAGTAGAAAAGTGCTCAGAAAATGATGAATGATGAGAGCATGTCAAAAGAACTCAGGCATCAGCTCAAAGCATCTCCTGTGGGCAAATCTGGGACAATTTGAGCAACCAAATAAACAAAAAGAGTAACAGATAACTTGTAAAGGAAAATAAAATAAATATCCATGAGTCCATGTTTTTATATTTTTTATAAATATATTTCATATTTTTATTTTATATACTTTAAATATAAATTATAAATATAAATATAATTTATATTTTATATTTTATATTTTTATAAAAATATATCTTATAAATATATATATTTTATATACATATATAGGTATATTTTTTGAGATGGAGTCTCGCTCTGTCACCCAGGTTGGAGTGCAGTGGCGCAATCTCAACTCTCTGTAACCTCCGCCTCCCGGGTTTAAGCAACTCTCCTGCCTCAGATTCCTGAGTAGTTAGGATTACAGGCACGACTAATATTTTTTTTCTTTCTTTCTTTCTTTCAATTTTT